CATAGTACACGAAGCAGACAGAATATCCTGTCCAAACACTATTACTACAAATCTTTCTTCTCAATGAATTAAGCGAAAGTAGCTATATATTGATAATAACTGTTCTGTATATTCAAATACAAAATGGTCCTTCCTTTGTATCCCTTTTCTTTTGTCCTGTCAGAGATGGGTATTCTAGTGGCATCTAAATACTATAGGTGCTTGAATTCATCAAAACAATCCAACACAGTCCAGCAATACACCATAGAATTGGGTGATCCACAAGTTGTTGACTTGAGCCTTTTATAGCTCAGCATATTAATATGGCTTTACTTTATATATCTCATTTTTATACTTTTTTGCTGGATAGATAAGACCAAGATAAAGCAAGACATATACACCAAGAAATGTAAGTTTTGTATTTGATAAGGTCAGTCAAGTCCGCTCAGAGTTTATCGTGTAATCCTTTACCACACTTTGTACATACTTAGTCAGTGTCAGCCATGTGGATGAGTCTCAGTCATTGCTTTAATTGGTAGGATTCTCAATCTGACTAACTATATATGCTGATACCTGAGAACCAAGAAACTACACTAAAGGCAGTAATGTGCAATAGAAGGGTCACGCTTGCAATACCTGTCATTGTGGTCTTCTAAATGCATACTTCTTGTCATGGCATAACAATTATTACCATATAGTCTCACAAGTAAAAGTTGTGGGGTTTTATAATGGATAAAAAATGAGGAAAAAAAAGATACAAGGAAAAGAAAAAAATGTCACAGGACTGTTCTGCTACAACGTTGTATAGGCTTAGATTTCTAAATTTCTGTGTAAAAATATGTGTTTATTTCCCTTCAATTATCTTTTTCTTCAAATCCTGTAAGCACTGAAAATTCAACACATCAATACTTGACAGAAAATACCTTTTCCATGTTATGCCTAAGAAGTTTGATATTTAGAGAGTAAGAGTAAACCAAACTGCATAGGTTTCAGGGTTATAATAAGCTTCTCTTCTGAAGGGTTAAAAACCTAAGTTTGCAAATCAAAAACTGGAGAAAAAGGAAGACCTGCAAGGTCAGCCAAAATTTTGGCCCTGCCCTTTCAAGGTCAGTGAAGACTGAGGACATAGGAGAACTTGTACTGTAGCATCATGTAACTCAGTTGTGTCCCACATTTTCTGAACAAGGAGATTATGGAGCCACAGAGGAATGTGATCGATGATGTATAGTGTGCCTAAGGACAGTCACATGGAGAGAAAACATTCTCTCAGGCTTTCACCGGAAGCAAATTGGTCAAGTAATGGCCGTGACTCATCCACATGGCTCACACTGACGTTTAGTTTTTTCTAACAGAAATCTTTCCAAATGAGAAGGCAGAGAAACTTTCTGTGCCGTGAATCCTGCAACGAGGATGGGCTTGCATTCCTGAACCTCACTCATCTGCACTGTGACTCATGGCTTTATTGTTTAAGCAAAATCTAAGTTTTGACTTGAAAGAATTTCAATTTACCTTTAACTTTCTCTTTATTTATCAAAAACAATTCTGTGTTTTCTTAGATGTGATGTTATGAGCTGGTATATGTTTATATTACCTAATACTTAAATTAAGTCAATTAAAGCATCTAACAACCCGGTATTTCTTCACATGCAAGAATGTGGATAGATATTTTGTTTGAGATACATTGAATAATAATATTAAAAAATATATTTTTCCTCAAATAAAGCATTTAAATATAAATGGATGCTTGTTCATATTGGATACTATGTAAACATAAATACATACAGTATTTGACTCTTCCACACAAGATATGTTAAAATATCACCCTTCATAAACATCTATATATTGTAATTCTGCACATAAAATTTTCTCTGCATATATACAGCAATATCACATTAATTGTATAACAAATGGAGCAAAAGACGAAGCAACTATTCTGTGAATTTTGTAAGGCCACTCTCTCCTCCATGAGAAATTGATCCCCTTGATTCATCTAACTCTAATTACCTTCTAAAAATTCAGGCTTCTAACATCATTATATTCATATTTGGATTCAACTTATATGAGTGTGTGGAAAGAACACAGGTATTCAGTCCATAATTGGTACTAAGCTAGATTAGAAGATGATCACTGATTGGGCCCTTGCCCTAAGCATCCCTGTGCTCTCTGTGCAGGCTTGCACCCAACAACTACCAGAACTACCTGGCCCTCCTTTTTGCCATAGAAGAGATCAACAGGAATCCTCATCTTTTACCCAACATTTCTCTGGGATATGAGTTCCATAATTTCATTTACAGTCATTGGAGGATACTAGAGAATTCCTTCATTTTGCTCACAGGACAACATGAGATCTCTAATTACATGTGTGGAACAGAGAGCAAGTGTGCAGCAGTACTGACAGAAATGTCATGGGGAACCTCGGCTCAGATTGGACCACTGCTGGAGCTCTACAGATTTCCACAGGTGAGGGTTGGTGGGACTGAAAATGCTGGAAGTGCAATACGGGTACTTTACCTAAGTGCGCTATATAGGGTTAAAAATGGGGTTGGTATGAGTATTTTTTTAAAGTGTGCTATGCACCAAAATCTTCACACAGACACTTAGTGGATTAGACTAGATTTCCTTTCTTTTTCAAGTTTTAGATCAAAATTAAAAGGGAAGAAGTATATTTCCAAGATATCTGGGAACATTCTTTAATTTAAAAAAAATCCTTTGATGGAGTTGTTCAGTAAAGGGAATAATATCTGTTTAACTGTACAACTTGCAGAACTTAATCAGCTATATATTTCAGGATTGAAATCAACAACACTTCAGTGAATTACCCACTTTTCTACTCCCATAAGGTTACCTTTGGCTCATTTGATCCTACGCTGAGGGACAGTGGCCAGTATCCTTCTCTCCATCAAGTGGCCCCAAAGGACACTTATTTGGCCCTCGCCATGGTGTCCTTGTTGGTTCATTTCCACTGGACTTGGGTGGGCCTGCTAATCACAGAAGGCCATAAGGGTCTTCAGTTTCTCTCAGATATAAGAGGTGAGATGGACAAGAACAGAATCTGTGTGGCCTTTGTGAAAATATTGTCAACTGCTGCTGTGTCATATATGTCAGCCACGAAGAAACATGATATCCTGACTCAAGATACATTATCAGCCAATGTGGTGGTCATTTACTATGATACTGATAGTGCAAATGATGTAAATTACAACATAGCGCAAAACTTAGTGACATGGAAAGTTTGGCTTTCAAACTCACGGTGGCATGCTGATCTGACTGGGAGAGATTTTATACTGGACCCATTCCATGGGATTCTGGTTTTCTCACATCACCATGAAGAGATTTCAGGGTTCAAAACTTTTGTCCAGGCAGCTAACCCTTTCAAATACCCAGAAGATACTTACCTCTTTATGTTTTGGTCTAAGCATTTTAATTGCTCATTCTCTGAGTCTGACTGTGCCTTGAAGAACTGTATCCCTAATGCTTCTCTGGCTTGGTTGCCTCCAAATCGTTTTAACACAGTTATGAGTGATAAGAGCTACAACATATACAATGCTGTGTATGCTGTGGCCCATGCCCTCCATGAAATGCTGTTTGAAGAAGTGCTAACGCCACCAATGAGAGATACAAAAGTGATGTTTTACCCTTGGCAGGTAATGTGTCTTCCCTTGCATGGCAGACAGTGCTTTCCATGTGCCCCTCTCAACTTCTTCCATGAATTTCAACCAAGAATGTTAGCATCATTTCTACAAATTATAAGATATTGCATATCACACTTAATATTAAGGAAAAAATTATTGACTTGTGTTGAAATAGTCTTCAATGAACAAGCCGCTGGTAAAGAAAAGAGAATGCCAGCTCATTGCTTCTACAATTTGCATATCAAGTCCTTGACCATGTAAAGGATCAATATTATAATTATCTTATACTATTCAGGAATGCTATTGATTTTTGTTTAATCTGGCAGTCCCTTCTGATATTGAAGAACTCACTTTATGGTAGATGTTGTTGAAATAGTTAGATAAAAAGTGAAAGAAGTGTTTTTGAAGCTGTGATTTCACAGATGATGTTTTACCCTAACCCAGATGGTCATCTTCCTTAAATGGACTTGCACAGAATATATTTTTCCTGAAACTGACCTTTCAGGAACATGATGGAAATTTAGTCCTTAGTCATTCATGTTTTACCATAATAGATATCAGTGTTAACGTAGCTTTGAGCAAATAGAAATAAAGACTCAGAAACTGTCTTTCACCCGTATAACTTGTCTTTCTCCTGGAGCTCTGTTCACATAGAATGATGTGTTTCTTTTAGCTGCATCACTTTCTGAAGAACGTCCAATTTAACAACTGTGCTGGGGACAAGGTGAACTTAGATAATAGAAGAAAACTGGACTCACAGTATGACATTCTCAACTTTTGGAATTTTCCAGAAGGCCTTAGACTTATGACAAAACTAGGCACATTTTCCTCTCATGGGCCACATGGCCAGAACATGACATTATCTGAGGATATCATAGAATGGGCCACCGGAGCTACCAAGGTATGTTGTACCCAGTCATGCTACACTTATCCACAAGAAATTATATATTGTCATAGGTTTACTGCTCAAATTTTACTCGTGCAGTATAATTATGTGTAGAAATACAAGGATTAAACATTAATTTTCATATTTTATATTTTAAAGAGAAAAAAATGCACACAATTATACAGAACTAACAAAACAAGATGGTAAGGGATTAACCATATTAATACAATTAATATTGTTATCCTCAAAGTAGTTTCTCAGATGACTTGATATCTGCATGAAAAATGGATCAAATAATATAGGTATAGGCCACGTTCCGCGAACCCCCAGACCCAGTCCTAGCCAAGGTCCGGTGAGTGTGTGGAGAGCTTCCTGCTAACCTACGCCGGCAGGACCAGTCCCAGACCAGGCGTAGCGTGTGCCGGACCCTCTCCCACCCCCTTGGGCCGCCCCCTACCACTCCGAAGTACCTCACCCACCCCGCCTGCCGAATAGGAATTTCGGCCAAGTTCCACAAACCCACAAACACAGTCCTAGCCCAGGTCCTGTGAGGGTGTGGAGAGCTTCCTGCTACCCTGCGTCAGAGGGACCAGTCCGAACCCAGGCTCAGTGTGGACCGGACCCTCTACCACCCCCTTGGGCCACCCGCCACCATTCCACCGCACCTCCCCCACCCCACCCGCTGAGTAGGAATTTCTGCCTCATTCTGGGAACCCCCAAACCCAGTCTTAGCCCAGGTCCAGTGAGTGTTTGGGAGAGGTTCCTGCTATACTGAGCTGGTGGGACCAGTCCCAGCCCAGGAGCAGTGGGGCCCAGACCCTCTCCCACCCTCTTGGGCTGCCCACCACCACTCCACAGCACCTCCCTCAACCCACTCAACGAGTAGGAATTTTTCTGCGTCCCGGGAACACCCAGAACCAGTCCTAGCCCAGGTCCGGTGAGTGTGTGGGAGAGCTTCCTCTTCCCCCTACTTCACCTTGCCCCTCCAGGCACAGCTCAGGCCTGGCATACACGCCTGCGGTGTAACCCTGCAGCTGCAATCCCGGCAGAGAGTGTGGAGGATAGACCCACCCAGCTA